TACTGATATTTGTGCTGTTGTTTTCCCACTAAAATTGTCACATTCTGGAAAATTATGTCATTAGGGATTTCTCTTTGGTTGAAGGGGTATTACCAAACAAATACATACATAAATAATAATAATAATGGGATATCCTGCCAAAAAAAAAAAGAACATTTTGGCATCATTTACTCACCCTCATGTCGTTCTAAACCTGTATGACTGACTTTCTTCTCTGAAACATAAAAGAAGATATGTTTGTAACCAAACAGTTTTGGTTCCCATTGACTCTCATTGTATGGACAAAAATACAATGGAAGTCAACGGGAACCTTTGTGGGAACATTATTCAAAATACCTTATTTTATGTCCCATCAAAAAAACAAAGTCATACAGATATGAAATGACATGATGGTGAATAAATAATGACAGAATTATAATTTTTGGGTGAAGTATCCCTTTAACAGAATAGAAAGATATTGAGGTTAGAGGAAAACCCTATAAATTGATTCAATTAAAACAATATTTCCAAGACACCATATTAAAGATAGAGGGGGAAATTAAGAAAAAAAAAATGAACCTGGGATATGTGAGAAGTTAAGAAATGGAAAAATGGCAACATGATCCTAAACTATATTAGTAAAATAATTTAAAATTCACCGCGGGAGAGACAGCAAGTGAAATGTGAACCATCATTTATGATAGAAAAAGAGAACAGAGAGGGAAGGAGATTGAAAATGAGACAGAGGTCCGGACCCGTTTTGTCTTTTGCAGTATCACAGATGGGGGTGGCGCAAGGACACAACATGTGTCCAGACCCAGGAATCCCAGAGAGGGGCAAAAGAAAAGGCTCTGATTTCAGGTGAGAAATTAGTTTATGGATTACTTATTAAAATAGTCCACTGAGAGGACACGGAGGAGAGAGGGAAGAGGAGTGCAGTTAATTTAGTGTTTGTAATGCCAGGATGATGAATAGCAAGAGATTCAGGAGGTGGGCACCTGTTTTATTTCTCATTGGCCTTTTAAAGGCTCAGGGAGGATATTTGATCAGCATAAACATGGGCTGTGGTCTCCCAAAGGTCACAACAAGAAGGGAAGGAGAGAGGAGAAAGAGTGAGAGACAGAGATGGAAAGAAAGAGAGGAATGTTATTCACTACCTTATGCATTAAAACATCAACTTTACATTAATTGTACATTAT